GTTAGCTTTATTTTGAAGCTAATAATTAACTTGAAAAAGTTTCATGAAACAATCCAGAGCTAGAAGACGAATTGAAGAAGGTTCTGCGCCAAAACGTCTAAAGTCTAGAAGACCAGCCTCTGTGCTAAAGAGTCACGGAGACCAGAGCTTCTGTCAAATACTACAGAGCTTCTGTGGTAACCAGAGCCTCTGCAAGGCTCTGTGGGAACCAGAGTTCTTGGACTCTAAGTTCCTTGACCCAGAGCCCCTCTGTGTAGACCAGAGCTTCTGTGAATGCTCAYAGAGCCTCTRGTGTTGCTCACAGAGCCTCTGTTCTATTTGACAAGAGACTCTCTGGTTGTGCCGTCCTCTGTCATCTTTTAGACGACTATCTTCAGTTTGCTTAATCTGGATAAGGYTATTCTTRWTCTGGATAGCATTAATCTTATCCAGGTTTGGTAGGTTATTGCCTATAAATAGAGTGTTTCAGATAGAGAAAAATGTAATTCTAGAGCACCAAGAGATTTCTCTTTGTAATRGATAGATTCAAAATCATATGAGAGTCGATTAGGGTTCTTGAGAGTCTGTAATTTCCATTCAATAATAGAAAAGCAGCCGCTATTTCTCTGTTTAATCTTCTTGTTTACTTTCTCTTACAAACTTCTAGTGTAAATCGTTCTACTGTCAGATCTGGGTTATAACAAAGTGCATGACAATGTGTATGTTTCACATGCCCCATATATAATATATATATATATATATATATATATGTATATATAGGAGAGAGAGAAGCGATCAAATACAAACCACTTAATTTGTACAAACCACCTTCATCCGTCGATTTCATTGTTTAATCTTATGAGATTTTTTCATGAAATTGTTTCATATAATACTTTTTTTTGATGAAGTTGTTTCATATATGGTTATGAAATTGTTTCATATAATACTTAATGAAATTTTAATAAAATTGTTTCATTATTTCTCTAAAATTAAAATAATGAAGATGATAATATCCATGATTAACACCCTACACAATAAAAATGATTAATCAACCTCTCATAATTACAAAAAAATGAACAAAATGAAAAATTATGATTGGTTGAATGAGGTTTGTACGGTTTGTACAAATAACGTGGTTTGCAAAGTAAACCTCATATATATATATATATATATATATATATACATACATATATATATATACACACACACATACATACATATATATAGATGAAGAATCGTGTGAAAAAAGAAGTTATTGTGAGAAGCGTAAGAAGAGATCTGAATTCTTATCACTTTTTAATCTCATGTCCACCCATGAATTGTTCTTTAGAAGGGCGAGATGCAGCTCATTAGTGTTAACATTCAATTAGCATTGATCAAATGATGGAGATCTCTTATTACGTTTCTCACTATAACTTTCATTCCCACCGAAACCCAACTTTATATATATATATATATATATATATATATATAAAGAGAGAGAGAGAGAGAGAGAAAGGGAGCACATTCATCTGTTAACCAAACAAAAAAATTAACTTTGTTAACCGATCTGAATCTTTCATTTTTTTTTATCAACGATTGTAATTAAATGAGAGGTCATAACAAGATAAATAAGGAAACAAATTAAATGGTATTAAATAAATAACACTTTTGGAACAAATTGTTTTTATTTTTGGAAAATAATCAATAATAATATTTAAATAATTTTTTTTTGGAAGATAATTTTATTTTATTTCTTGAAAGATCGTCAATAATAATACTTAAATCATTTTTGTTTAAAGATAAAACCAGAAAATTAATAAGTGAAAACAAAAAGTGAAACAATGATTTTTGTTTAAAGCCCATAGGTGAAACCAAATAATCAAAGTTTATATGTGAAATCAGAAAGTGATACAATGATATTTATTTAAAGTTCATAGGTGAAAAACAATAATAATTATTTAAAACTCATAACATTATTTCATGTATGAACTTTGATTTTTCCAAAATATTTTTACCAGAGTTCATAGTTGAAACCAAAAAGTGAATGAGATAATTAAGGAAGTTTAAATAAGATCACAGATGAAACCAAAAATTTCAGAGGTGAAACAATAAAATGTATAAGATAATTAAGAAATGTGATAATTAAAGAATATAATAATTAAGTGAATGAATTATTTAATGAATGTGGTATGAATATATGAAAAAGACTAAAAATGTCTCGATTAACAAATTTTGTATTAATTCTTTGGTTAATAAAAGAAGGGGACTCTGTATGTATAAACGACAAATCAAATGCAAATCTTCTAAATATTACAAACCTACAAACCAACGTTTATAGAAATGGTGAATGTTCATTTATTATGATTTGAATATTTATTGAAAATGGTTAGAGTTCAGCAATCATGATCAATTTTTTATATTAGGAAACAATCTATATATTTATGAAAACAAATCATATTCATTAGAGCAGATAGACAGTTGAGATTCTTTTATTGAAATTATATATAGCAGACGTCAAATACAAACCAAACCATTGTTACAAACTATTACAAAGCAAACCACAAGGGTGGTGACTAATTGGTTTGAGCTTGGCTTCAAAGGTCAAAAGTACCAGGAGGTTCCGGGTTCAAATCCGAGGAATAAAAATCCCCTTGTGGCCATGGAGGTTCAAATGCGGTGACTCCAGGCTATCTGCAAAGCAGGTGGTTGCCCTCGGATTAGTCGGCTCGCATAGCGGGTTGGATATCCAGGTTAATAAAAAAAAAACTATTACAAAGCAACCAATTAAGGTATTTATGAAAATGATGAAGTTTATTTATTATGATATGAATATTTATGGAAAAGAAATACATAATTAAACTAAGTATATTTCCTCGATATGTTTACTGTATTAATATTTTTAAATAAAGAGACAATTAAAAAGATAAATAAATAAATATTTTTAAAAATAATATTAATTAACCACAAGGGTGGTGTCTGGTTGGTTTGAGCTTGACTTCAAAGGTCAAAAATATCAGAAGGTCTCAGATTCAAATCCAAGGAGGAATAAATCCCCTTGTGACCACGGAGGTTCAAATACGGTGACTCCGGGCTATCCGCAAAGAAGGTGGTCGTCTTGGGATTAATCGGCTCGCATAGCGGGTTGGATATACAAGTTAATCATATATATATATATATATGGTATATTTCAAATGCAACCATGTTCATTTGTACAACCAATGCAACCCAATTAATTGAGATATTTATAAAAATGATGAGAGTTTATTTATTATGATTTGAATATTTATGGAAGATGAATATGGTTCATTAATTATGATCAATACTTTTATATTATGAAACAATCAAAACTTCTATAAAATCACATATTCATCAAATTAAATGGACGGTTGAGATTGTTGTATTAATTATACAAATATAAAAGGTTGTATAATAACTCACCCCTCTATTTCTCTCTCTCTCTCTCTCTCTCTCTCTCTATATATATATATATATATATATATATATATATTAGAAATGATGAGAATGACAAATATAAAAAAGGGATAGAAAAAGTTGTAAGAATATATTCCAGGATCCATGAAAAACATGAAATGGAAGTAATTATATGCAACCTTTTAAGTCTATAAAACATACACATTCATCATCAAGCATCCAAGGCTCAACCTCAACCTCAACCTCAACCTCCACCCTGTGTAAAATCATTGTTTACACACACACAATCACCCCTGGAACAAAACCATAAACAATAACACACAGATTCTTCCAGATACAGGGTTGGGGAGAAGCAAATTCCTTGTGACTACTGCGTGAAACACACACACTTTCTTCCCCCTGACGCCCACAATCAACACACATATATATATATATACACACATTATATATATATCTATACATATACACAGAGAGAAAGAGAGAGAAGAGAGAGAGAGAGAGGGGTGTCTGAAATGATGAGGGAAGGAGGGTCATCATCGGTGAGTGCGGCGGTGGAAGGAGGAGGAGGGAGGAGGAAGCCGTCGTGGAGAGAGAAAGAGAATAATCGTCGGAGAGAGAGACGGCGGAGAGCTATTGCAGCCAATATCTATAATGGCTTGAGAACACAGGGGAATTACAATTTGCCCAAACATTGTGATAATAATGAGGTTTTGAAGGCTGTTTGTAAGGAAGCTGGTTGGGTTGTTCTTCCTGATGGCACCACCTTTCGCAAGGTATCATTTCATCTTCTAAATCTATGGCTTTGATTCTGTTCTTCTTTAATTTGGGAAATTTCTCAAGTGGGTGTTGCTTCTCTTTTGATATTTCTTCCACAATCATGGATTTTGGGGTTTTAATTTGGAGATCTGCCATTTTTTTGTTCTTGAAATCATCATGACAGGGTTCCAAGCCACCACTAGCTTCCATTGAAACCTGCAACACATCAACCACCACCACCAACACCACCCCATCTTCTTCCCAGAAACCAAGCCCAATTCCTTCATATCAATGCAGCCCATCATCATCATCTTTCCCAAGCCCATCCAACTCCTTTGCGTATGCGATTCCATCGTCACTCCCTTCTCTGCGAATCTCAAACAGTGCCCCTGTCACCCCACCTCTCTCCTCTCCAACTTCAAAGTTTCCCAAAGACAATAATCTCAACTGGGAATCATTCAGCAAGCAATCCATTTCATCATTCAACCTGCCGTTTTTCGCGTCTTCAGCTCCTACAAGTCCAACCAGGTACCAGCGGATCATGCCTGCAACTATACCAGAGTGTGATGAATCTGATTGCTCCACCATTGGTTCGTGTCAGTGGATGAGGTTCAAGAACTATGAGCCGATGATGATGATGATGAACCCCAACTCGCCCACGTTCAACCTGGTGAAACCGATGGCTCCGGTGGCTGCAACCATGGACGCAGGCTCAGAGAAGGGGAAAGGGATGGAATTTGAGTTTGAGAATGGAGGAGTGAAGGCATGGGAAGGGGAGAGGATTCATGATGTGGGATTGGATGATTTGGAGCTCACTCTTGGAAGTGGGATTGCTAAAACATGACGATGTTGTTGTGTGTTGATGATTGCTCCTTTTTACAGTTCTTAAAAAGATTTTAGAGGTTAGGACACCAGTTGAGTTGTGTTGAAGATGCACATGAAAATGAGTTAGAGTTTATGAGATTTGCTTTGAATCTTTGTTTTTTTATCCAGTGACTGCAGACCCATTTTACATTTGTGAGCAAGACTGGATCTTTTCGACAAAAGAATCAATGGATGTTGTGTTTTTGTCAAGATTCTCTCTCTTATAATTTGTTGCTCTAATTGGCTCATTTTAAAAGGGATGTTCTTATTGCATTCAAAGCTTGGACCTTGATTCATTTAGAGAAAATTTGTTGCTCTATCATCTAAGTTTTTTATATATACATATTTTCAATCTATTCATATCTTTATATAACTCATTTGTATATATGTTTAGTAACTATGAACATATATATATGTAAATTGAGAAAATTAACTGAATGTGATATACGTAAGAAATATGGATAAATTGTATCAAATGGTTGATGATGAAAAAGAAATTATGAGTAGAGAAATAACATATTTAAGGTTAGAAGAATATTTTAATGTACCAAAGTATTAACCCGACCAACCCGTTCAAGGTTAGAAGAATATTTTAATGTACCAAAGTATTAATCCGACCAACCCGTACGGGTTGGGTTGGGTTGGGTTGGGTTGGGTTGCACTTTGGTTTTAGTTGGGTTGGGTTAATATTTTTCAAACCACAAGCATTGGGTTATTCAAATGTCTTCAACCCGATCAAATCAACCCATAAGCACCCATACCTCAGAGGGTCTTTGCACTTTGACTAATCCCAAGGGTCCCTGTAGAACAAATTGGAAAATCTCCAATGATCTTAGTTCTCCAAAATTAAGAGTAAAAAAGCAAAACCTCCAAAAAAAAGTTTACATTCAAATCCAACATATTTTTTATTTTAGATATTAAAATATTCAATATATTTAATTAAATACTATTTCTCTTTTCTAGACATTTAATTTAAAATACTCATTGGTGGAAAAGATAAAATATCATTTTTCACTCTTAATCAATCATTTTTTGGGGTTTTTCCAAATTTGGAGAATCTTACGTTTCTCTATGTTGGAAAAACGACATTGTTTGGGTCATTAAAAACCAATTCTGCCAAATAACCCCTAATAGAATAGTGTGAGGTATCCAGTATAACCGCTAATGCGTAACACATTGAGTTGGGCAGCTTTCTTTGAGCAGATAGCTTTGCATACTAAACTTGCGGGGGCTTATGTTGTTGGTTAGTTTCTCGGATGAATTCCAAAGACTTGTTTTTAAGTCGAGGCATAAATTATCAAGAGCAAGAAGAGAGGATATCATTTATCATGTTGCAGCTTTCATGAGGAGACCCCGACATCAAGTGCAAGAATCGTTGTCGAAGGGCTGGGGCATAGGTATAAGTGTTGGAGCATAGTGATAGAGGGATTCAATTCCTTTGTGGGGCTTGTCGCGTAACGGATACAGTTAGGAACCTATGCCTGCACGGTAGAACCAAGACTTCCCCGTGGCATTGCCTTTGATTATGGGTTTAGATTCCTTGGCTTGGACAGGGCATTTAGTACATATCTCTATTCCTGCATCTGAGTCTTGTCATGATCGTGCACTCTTCTAACTTTCGGACATTCTTGCTGGCTTGACTTCTTGACTTAGAGCTTTTTCTGCAGGATGCTCTTTTGTGCTACAATGGACTGTTTTATTCTTTAGTTAAAGCAAAAAATCATTAAAACCCAATGCACGAAAAGGCACGCCATAGCAAGATGTGTCTTCGTTGTTACAATAAAATCCGTAACGTTTGTATAAGGTGTGGTTCAAGACACGACGCCTTGAGACGCGACTTTTTCATAGTTTTAATTTGAGGTTTTATATTTTTACAAACATAATTAATTACATCACTCACAGATTCTTGGATTCATATATGCCAAAGACTCATAGTTAAAACATGTAAAACATTTCCAAGTTATATTTTGAATATTTTATCATAAACTTTTTATGTAATACTAGTTAATTTATATCATTATATTATTAAAAAATAAATAGAAAACATATATATATATATATATATATATACACACACATAAAATTATACGAATTGTAAGACCCCATGATCCATATTTGCATATAATCATGTATTTCATATATCAAAAAATACATATATATATACACACACATAAAATTATACGAATTGTAAGACCCCATGATCCATATTTGCATATAATCATGTATTTCATATATCAAAAAATACAAATACACATTCGATCCCAAATATATATATATACAAACACTACATTATAAAAATAGCTACCAAATTTTTCCACAAAATCTCTATACAAAACTTGTACTCATAGATAGAATGCAGGTACAAGTAACAACACATTATCCCAAAAGCAATAACCAGACAATCATATATTTCTTCATAAATTTCCCTTTCTCTTATCAACTGATTGCCTGACCTGTAACGCACATTTTAAAACACCAAAATGAGGGTTAGACCTTGAGATCTAGTGAAAAATCTCTTTTATGCAATTACAGGGTGAATATCACCAAAACCCTTTTATAAAACTCATATTTGAAATAAATAACAAATATATAATGTTTTGACAACACAAACCTCTTTTGCCACATCAAACCACAAAATACACATTTATCGCATAACACATGATGCTCAATGCTTTAAAACAAACCATAATTTCCTCATAACACCTTGGATGAGACGACCCCATTTCCTCGCAACACTCTGGTGCGGGAACCCATCTCATTGCAGCATACTGGGTGAGACTACCTCATTTCCTCGCAACACGTTGGTACGGGAACCCATTCCATCATAACACATTGGTGCAATCACAACACATTTCATCGCATCAATGCTCGGAAGCAAGACCAACCAAAGCCTCTTTGGTCCTTAAGGACCAAAGCCCCTCTGGACTCACAACCAAAAGCAAGGCCACCCACTAAGTCTGGAAGAGTAATTAGAGCCTCTGGTTTTAAAAACCAGAGCATCTGTTCCACAAGTATTTAGAGCCAGAGCCCCTCTGGTTGAACTATGCTCTGGACGTTAAGTGACAATTATGAAGACGAAGTCTGAAAATGAATTAGTCCAAGAGGACTTGGTCATAAAGTTTCATAGAACCAAGAGCTCGAATACAGAGCTCAGACACAGAGCTCGGACCAAGAGCTCGAACACAAAGGTATGAAGACCGAAGTCTTTCTCACAAATAGTCAAGTACTCGGATACAGAGCTCAACTCCTAAACAAAAATCCTCTACATAGTATATGCAGAGCCTCTAGGTCTCATACTTAGCCCATCTGTGTGAAGGTTTCACGGCTCATCTTACAAGCGTTACAAGGTTCAAATGAATAATCAAAAGCAAAGCCATTTCAAAAACCAGACCAACCAGAGTCCCTCTAGTCATCGAGAGCCCCTATAGTCCTTAAAAAAATAACAAGTTTTATTAAAGCAAATTGGACCAAAAATGGAAGTCTGGAGACTTATCATCAGAGATTTGAAAAAGAATACTTCAGAGTTTGGGTAGGCTAAGTCTGAAAAAGAAGACTTCAGACTTCGGGTGAGCTAAGTCTGAAAATGAATACTTTAGACTTATTCTTCAGAGTTTCACTTCAAAATTATTCAAATACACCATATCTTGAAAAATACTCCATGGGTAAAACTTGCATCATACAGAGCAGGATTAGCCAAAGTAAGGCCATCAGGCCAACTAGAGCAAGGGTCAACCAGTAGTAAGGGTCAACCGAAAGTAAAGTTCAACCACAGGCCTCCTGGTCTTACCAACCACAGGCCTCCTGGTCTTACCAACCAGAGCCCCTCTGGTTTTAAAACGAGTTCCCACCTTATCAAAACAACTAAAAGTAAAGCCAATCCAAAAGCATGGCCAACCCAAAAGCACATCTGGACAACCAGAGCCTCTGGTTTGACTATCCAGGGCCTCTGGGTCAAGAATAATGTTTAAAACACTTGAAAAGAATTTGGATTTCAAATACAACCAGAGACCCTCTAGTTAAACATGAAGACAGAGCCCATTTGGTTCCTCAACAACTGTTCACTTATCAAAACCACCACTTATCACATCAATAAGATGCAACAACCTTAAGTCCTCGCATCGTACAAAAGTGATAACTCAATGTCATCACATCACAAGGATGCGATAACAACAACTTCTCATCTCAACACGCAGATTTCACAACTCATGATTATGTCACTCTTATCCTAATATACGGCTCTCCTTAATATGCCACCCTCATCCCAGTATACGACTCTCTTTGATATGCCACACTTATCCCAGTATACGACTCTCCTTAATATGTCACCCTTATTTCCACACTTGATATAATCATGATAAAAATCCACCTTTTTGCCAATAATGGCATCCAATGTTTTATTTCAAAATTCATATAAAGAACCATGCAGTTCTTATACCTAGTTTCCAAACAAAAAAAGCTTTAAACAAAAACCCACCATCATGCTAAAGTTAGCATCCATAAACAGTTTTATCATCAATCCTATGTAAGAACCATACGACTCAAATTTCAAATACCAAATACGAAAAGCTTCTAAAGTAAAGCGTACAATTAAAAACTTACCTTGATTCACAAAGAAACAAATAACAACAACAAAGATTAAAGAAGAAATCACATAAATCAGCTTCTACTTCTCCCCCATTTTTGGTTTATTTTTCTCTCGAACTCTAGAACTCACAGAAACTTTTCTTTCTTTTTCTCCACGACAATCAATGAGATAAGATAAAATATCTTATACTCCTTGTAACCAAAGCTTAAGGTGGTAGAGGTTTTTAAAACATTTAAACACACTCTCCATGAGATAACACAAATATGTCATAAAACAAATATAAACCATAAGAGGCAGTGAGGGAATTTAAAATCATTTAAGCATTTAAGCACTCAAACAAATTAAACCCCTCAACTTACCACCATTATTTAAAATCAACCCTCAAGTTTGCAACCGAAAAACACGATTATCACACGAATGACATACAAATTTACCGTCTTATTTCACATCTTAAAAAAAACGTCGCATCATCGTCATGACATGTAAGACTTAAAACTTGAGCTCTCTAAC